GGGCTGTAAGAGGGACAGAGCTGAAGGTGGGGTCCATGGTGAGGCCGCCCTGGGTGGAGGTTCAGTTGCAGACACTCTGGAAAATGACTGTCACTGAAGCTCAAAAGGCCACACTGAGTCACCCAGGGGGAAGTTGGGCTGAGTCCAGCTCTGTTGAAAGAAGGCGAGGAAGTGTGCCACACACTGAAAGCTTTCCCTCCAACCTGGGTAAATTCGGGAGTGGGCTAGCTCCATCTTCAGTGTGGCAGGGTCAAGGTGGGGAAGGGCACAGGCTTCAGGAGCAGAACTGGGTGCTTTGGCAGGCCCCGTCGTTCCTGCCCGCTCCTGGCCTCAGTTTCTTTTTCTATTCAACGCTTTATCATCTTCAAGACAGGGTGGTCATGAGGAGAGGAGGCGGGTGCAGAAGTGGGACAGTGTCTTACAGGCAGTGCTCAGCCATGCTTGCTCCCTGTGTGTCCCGTGGACTTGCTAACTCATGGTTCTCTGAGCTATATCACTACCTGGGACTTTAAAAAGCTAATTAAAGCTGCTAATCCCCAAGCCTGTGTTCTAATTACCCCCGAGCGAGCAGAGGGGATGGTGACATTGGCTAGGGCCTGCAACTAATTCACAGTTATGGGAGTTGTTATGCCAGAATAGGGCAGATGTTTCATTCTTAACACTAGGCCTGTCCTGGACCTATGGTAACCCAACATCCAGAAAATTCCTTGCCCAAGCAAACTGGAGGCTTTAAGTCACCCAGCTGTTTCGCCCTAGGAAGGAATTGTGGGATGTGGCTTTTTTAAAAAGTGCCTGCATTGAGAGGGTCTTGAGGAGAGGGCTTTTGACACGGGGGAGGAGCTAGGCTGGGAGAGGGTCTGGTGGCAAAGGTCAATCGAGAGGCCATCTTAGGGCCTCCAAGTCTTCAGCGAAGATCAGGGGTGGTTACAAGGGTGGGCTTTTCTTTGTGGAGACTGAAGAAGGGGTTAACTTGAGAAGAGAGGCTTCAGAATAGAGGCGGATGCAGAGGGCACCATGAGATCATGGCATGACGCTGGAAAACTATTTGAAGTTTGCAGCGACCTTGGGGCTCCTACAAGCTATGAGACTAGGAACCAAAGAAAGCCCATTTGAACGTAAGATGGTTTGGGATTTAAGGCACGGAGGCTGGTATCTGTGATGATTACTGGTTTGTTTTATATGAATTAGGTATCATCCCCGTGCCATCTGCTCCTTCCTCGGGCCCGAGGGCATAAAAACACAAAGAACATAGACAAATGAAATAGCGTTATAGCCTGTGACCAGCCTCAAAGAATACCTGCTTTAATGAAAATATAAGAGTTGCGTGTGGGGCTGGAAATCTACAGCAGTGGTAGAATTCATGCCTAGCATGAACAGGTCCTGGGTTCAGTCACCAGCGCGCACGCGCGCGCGCGCACACACACACACACACACACACACACACACACTCACAGTGCTGTCTGCCACAGTGGGGAAGGAGGTAGGTGAGTCATGCTGGTCACATACTGGGTCAAGGTAGTGGGAACTGGGGGAAAGGCAGCCTGACCCCGTCCCCTCCTGCAGGATGTCGTGGGAGGGCAAGCGGGGACATGTCCACTCGGTTAACTGTTTTTGTCAGCGCTTCTTCAGAGGAGCGGGCTCTTCGCTCCTTTCATTTCCCCTTCCTGTCCTCCGGGGCTGTGAAACTGCCGGAAGACCCTGGCGTTGGAGAGGAGGCTGCTGTACCCTCTCCCTGAGCGGTACCCAGTGTGCTGGCAAGAACCCCACAGAACGCAACAGTCACAGACCCGGAAAAGGGGACAGGACGGGGTCGCTGCCATTTTGCACATGATTTCAAGGTGTCAGCCACCCCGCCTGCGACTCTGTGGAGTTAAGGCTGGGGTCTCTGGTTCCAGATGTTGGGGGGCGCTTATTAATTAGATGCAGGAAGCATCGGTACTCAGTGAGACCACAGCTGCCTTGCGGGTGAGAACAGTGGCAGAAGCTTTAACTTTGGGCCCACACTTACCCAGTTTGGTGATTCCCAAACTTTAGGGGACATCGGAGGGCCATGAAGGCCTGGTCAAACACAGAGTGCAAGGCTTCAGCTCCTCAGGTGTAGGGCGGGGTGAGTTAATGGCCCGCTGAGGCTGAGGCTGAGGCTGCTGCTCTAAGGGACACGCTTATCCCAGGACCTGACCTCTGCTTGTCATCCCAGTCATAGGTCCCAGAGCTGAGCAGAAAGATGGATGGGAGTGAGAGTGGTCAGCTGTACCCTGTCCTACCCTTTATTTTATTTTATTTTATTTTATTTTATTTTATTTTATTTTATTTCATTTCATTTTATTTTATTTTATTTTATTTTATTTTTGAGATAAGGTATTACTATGTAGCCCTTGCTGGCCCGGAACTCACTATATAGACCAGGCTGGGCTCCAGACTCCAAACTCCAGACAGGTAGACTGCATGCTAGTCATGCACCATCATAGCCAGCAATTTCTTCCATTTTATGATAAACCCAAGAGTTCAAACAAAACACAAAAACAAAAAACGGGAGCCCATTAGTCCTTTGTGCAAAATCTTTCTATAATCAACAGTTACATGGGATGCCTATGGGACAACATGGTGTTGCTGGGCAGATTTTTTTTTTTTTTTTTTTCTGAGACAGGGTTTAACTCTGTGTAGCCTTGGCTGTCTTGGACTTGCTTTGTAGTCCAGGCTGGCCTTGAACTCACAGCAATCTGCCTGCCTCTGCCTTCCCGAGTGTTGGGATTACAGGCGTGTGCCACGGTGCCTGGCTGCGAGGCAGATTCTTAACAGCTATTTGCAGCTGAGCCTTGCTCTAATGCCGTGGTCTCGACCTTCCTAATGCCATGACTCCTTAGTACAGTTGATCATGTCGCGGTGACCCCCAACCATAATATTACTTTGTTGCTACTTCATGACTGTAATTTTGCTATTGCTCTTAATTGTACTGCCAATATCTGTCTTTTCTGTTGCTCTTTGGTGACCGTGAAAGAGTCGTTTGACCCCCAAAGGGGTCAAGACTAATGGGTTGAGAACTGATGCAGGTTGAATGGATGTGGTGGGGCTTGGTCCAGAGGCAGCAAACCTGGGCTGAATCTGCACACACATCACTGAGATCTTGCTGAACACGAAGATTTCTGATTCGGGATCTTGAGACAGGGCCCAGAGCCATGTCACTAAGTTGTGGGGTGACGACAATGTTGGCGTCTGTGACCCTGGAGCCTTTTATCCACTGCCTCTCCCACAGAAATCAAAGTGGACTCTTCAAGGAGTCCTACTAGAGATGGAAGGAGGCTCTGTTGCCGTTGGCAAGGTGTTTGCTGTGTGTGCATGAAGAGTGGAATGCCAGCACCTGTGAAAAGCTGGGTCAGGGGCTCACAGATGTCATCCCAGCACTGGGGAGGCAAGGACAGCCAGATCCCAGAGCTTATTGGCCAACCAGCCTAGCACAGTTGGAGGAGTTGCAGGTTCAGTGACAGACCTTGTCTCAAAACAAACAAACAAACAAACAAACCAAAAAAACAACTGGAGAGCAATTGAGGAAAACACCTGACGTTGACCTCTACCCTTCAAAAGCACAGGCACACATGAGCAGGTGCACCAGCTTGTACATAGACCGTACAGAGAGAGTGAAAGGAAGGGGAGGGAGGGAGGGAGAGGGGAGAGAGATGGGAGAGGGAGAGTGATCTCGTACTTTTATAGATTAGACTCAGGAGGGAAGTCTTTAGTCTTTAATAGTGGTTAATTAGTGGGTTCAGTGTGTGAATGGCTTAGGACTTCCTGGGTTGGTAAAGAATCACGAGGCTGGAAATCCTCTTGGTGCTCACTTCCCCTGGATTCAACGAGTCAGTGGACAACCTCCTGGGTTCTGATGTTCTCTGTGACCTTGCTGTGGGGCTCAGAACTCAGTGAGTGTCTGACATCAAGTTCAGGAACACAGTTGGCTGCTCTTCTCTTCCAGCTAATGGCCATCTACTCATTCATTACTTGTGTGTGATGACATGGCCCACCTTGCCATGCCTGTAAAATGAGATGGGAAAGCTACAGGGTGAAGTGTAGCTGTGCTTTTTTAAAAACTCTTTTACTTACGGTTTTTTATATCTTTTTCTCCCTACTCCACCCCAATCCCTTCTAACATCCCAACACCAGATAGGAGAAGGAAAGGGTTAGTGGGAGAAGGGGCATAGTTCTCTTAGCTGCTTCCTACTGGTTAGGGTAGGGTCGTCGGGTTCCTTGGTGCCAGTCCAGTCCTCATTTCAGGAGATCTCCAACTCCTTGTCTCACAGCAGCAACCAGGAACACCAAGGGGGAAGCAGGAGCAGCCTTGTTCTTTCTCCAATTACCTCACTCTCTGGGCTCTGGCATTTATTCTCTCTCCAGAATCCTCAGATTTAAACTGTCTGCAGCTGGCAAAGAGCTCCTCTCAGAGCCCGCATGAGGCAAATAGTCTGCTGCTGTGGACCATCTGAATCAGTCCCACACCCCACACCTGGGACCAAAACAAAACCATGTTTATAGCTACAACAGTGGAGGGTGGGATAGACAGAGGTGGAGACATAAATTCACTTTAAATTTCTTCAGAACGTCTTTGCTGTCAGTGTTGAGCATGAACTGTGGGAAGACTAGAGCAAAACACGAACAACTGCAGCATCGGCCCCAGCATCAGTGTAGGGGAAAGGGTAGGCTCTAGATATGTTCTTGTGGGGAGAGATCAACAGTCTTTGCTTACAGGACACGTGGATGAGGGGCAAATCCAAGAGTCTGGATTTAAAAGCTACGAGCAAAGAGCTGGGTGAAACAGGCATGAGGGGAGACCAGGAGTTCCGTTTTGAATACAGGAAAACAGTCTCCCACAAAAGACAGAGGGACAAGTGGTGTGTCCACTAGTAACCCTACTTTAGGCCTCCTTACTTTAGGTTTGGCTAAGTCCAAGGCTGTGTTCAGGGAGAGGAGTGTGTTTGGGCAAAAGAACTAAAAACTGGGAGTATTTTGAGTAAGAGGAAATAAGACAGCGTTTCTCTGTTTCTTTATTAATAAGTAGAGATACACAAAGACTTGATAAAAAGTTACATAAAAGGCTCAAGCATCATCAAGGTATCCAGGCATCACTCTCGTTTCACGACAATGGCCACCTGCTAATACTGTCACTCAAAGGGCTCAGTGTTTCAAGTATCTGGCATTCCCCGTAAACCCAACCCAAAGTGGAGTCTCCAACCGGGCGGGCCACTAAAAGAAGGGACCCCTCTGTGGCTCTGGACTTTATGTGGTGGGTCTGAGGGGCCTTGGGGGTTAGAGCTGGCATGGGTTAGTGGGTCATCTCTCCTGGCAGGCAAGACAGGCCACGGAAGCCCAATCCGGTACTCCCACGGGAAGGTGGGAAACTCCTAAGGGAAACATCCAGGCAAAGTGCTTGTGGGAAGGGAGGAGACATAGCTTAGCCCTATTTAGGGGGAAAGAGGATAGCGGGGGAGAAAAAAGATCCTATTAGGAGGTGTCAGAGTAGTGGGAGAATATCAGAGCACACAGGTGAGTGGATTCCAGGGAGGGTGTGTACATCAGGGGATGTTATGGGACACAAGTTTATGAAAATCTAGAGGGAACCTCAGGATGACAACTCAGCTATAGATCTGGAGAGTCCCCAGTCATTTAGTGTTATGGCCAACCAGGTTTCCCCTACTTCCCCTGTCAGCTGGTGACAGAGATGCGCTGAGCATACTTTATGGCCCTCACTGAAGAGTCTCTGTCCAAGGGCTCATTTCTAATTCTGGGGTGTTCCCTACCCGAGTCACTTCTGGGGGAAATGTGACTCAGAGAGGTGAAAGCTTACAGGAGCCCTGAATCAGACGCTGCAGAAGGCCAGGTGTCAGCCAGTCTGTCTGTCTGCATGGGGAGTCAGTTTAGGAGGCAGTTAGAATGGCCAACCTTCGGGGCTTCGGTCTAAGCAACCGCCCTTCTTCCTGGGAGAGGCCCTGCCCAGCACAGTGGAGGTACAGCTCCAGAGGCAGGGGTGTGCTGGTAGCGGTGGTGGGCGATGGGCCTCTCTGGCAGTGGCTGCTGCCCTGATTTGTAGGGCCTTCCGTCTCAGCACCCTGAGAGAGCATCTCGACCTAGCTTTTGTCCGTCCCCTCTCTCCAGGCGGCAGGCAGCTGCTACGGAGCCTAAGGCTGGAGAAAACCTGGTCCTTTTAGTGTTGAAAATATTCATGAGTATTACAGGATCTGGGAAAATGGTGAGGTACCTCATCTGGAATGTTCTCTGGTATCCTTTTTAGGAACAGGAAAAAAAAAAGTGGGGTAGGGGTGGCAGTTTGACAAGTAGGAAGTCTGATCTCTATCTGGCAAAAGCGTCGATCCTTTTCTTCTGCAGCAGAATGGCCCCTTGGATCAGGCCTTCTGTGCGGATGAACCCTGGGTGTGAACAACTTAGGACTTTCTGGGTTGGTAAAGAATCGTGAGGCTGGAAATCCACTTGGTGCTCGCTTCCCTTGGGATTTCTTTCCGTGAGTTTCTTTCTGCAGATCAGCCCAGCCACCTCGTGGGAATCCTGTTTTTCCGAGGTGAGCTAGCAAATGAGCTCACCAACTATGCTGCCTCCTTTTCTGACCCTCTCACAAGGTACCCTGTGGCTGCTGTCCTCCACATAGTAGATCCTAGCTGGAAAAAAAAAAAATCTTTACCCCACCGGCAGCACCAGGGAGGGAGAGGCGCATCATGGCCAGAGGTGTCCCTGCTGAAGTGGGTGTACCATGTCATCAGCTCAACTTTCCTTTCCCCTTTGGGCTAAGACAGGAGAGGGCAATGAAAGTTTGCACCAAAAGGCAACCATAGTGCCGATGGTAGAGGGGATTTGCTCATTGGCTGGGCGTACAAAGGTAATAGTCAGCTGACTCAGACGGAAATGGCTTCAGGTACTGGTGCTTCGATGATAGTACCGAGTGCTTTCAGTTCAGAGCTTTCTGGATGGTGTGACGTTTGCCCGTTTGTGTCAGAGGCACCACAACATGCGAGCAAGCAAGAAGGCACACATCTGAGCCGCTCGGGGCCCTGTCCACATCTGAACACAGAATTCACCCCCTGCCTCAAATGCAAATGAGCACTTTCTCGAAGCCAGTCATGCCTCACACTGTCAGGATAAGGAAATCCCTCTAAGGGTGAAGGGGTTCAGTTAGCCCTCACATCAGTGGCAGTGGGGGTAGGGATTTATTTTCTAATCTCTGTGTTTTTTCCAAGCCTTCCAGGTGAAGCCATCTCCCTCTCTTCCAGCCTCTGGGGTCTGTTTGCTTCTGGGCTTGACTCCTCCGCAGGCTTTTGATATGGGCTCCCCCTAACTTCGGTTTCAGTCTTTCATCCTCCGTGGAGTTTGGCACTGCTAGGAACACTCAGTTAAGGACACAACAGCACTGTTCCAGACATTGATCAGAGGTCTGCCAGAGACTTGGGGCTTTGCCAGGCAGCAGACACAGACCTCTTTAATAAAATAATCATTACTCAAATAATTTAAAAATCTACAAGACATGAGAGCTCAGACACTGGGGGACAGGGTCGGGGAGGAAGCTTGTTCATGGCTTGTCTGGTACATTGTATGTGGATAAGCACTTCCACGGCAAACCAGCCCTATGTAGTTAGAAGAAACAACACACCGGCCAAGAGACTGGGAACTGGGCTCAATCAACACACGAAGGGCTTGGAAGCTGTTGCTTGTCTCCTGGGAGAGGCAGCAAAGCCAGACCCTGGCTGCTCCTGCCCTTCCTCCCTTCCTGTGCCCAGCCCAGAGCCGAGGGCTGTGGTTAGAAATGGTTCTCAGTGCAGGTAGGCAGTGGGGTGGTCCCGGGGGCTGGCAGTTCACGGTCGCTCTGCCCAGGGCTCCAGGCTGTCACAAGATCACACACTGCAGTTTGTGAGTGCCAGTGGCCCTGTCTCCTCGCCATTTTGTTTTCTTTTTCTTCTTCTGGTTTTTCTCTGGAATCTGTTGCCTGTTGAACAACGAAGAGCAGAAAGGCGTCAGAGCAAGCCTTTCTTTCCCTCCATCCTCTCTCTGTGACTCCCGGGTCTCTGACAGCCCCAGGGTGGAGGGACAGCTTGAAGGTGCTGCTGTCATGGCCACCCAAGGGGACCAGGCTACGTGGCATCTCTTAGTGCAAGAAGTCTGAGAGGAAGAGAAGGAAAAATGAGAATCTCCTGACCGTGTAAAGGAGTGACATCAAACGGTGACTAGATCTATTCATATTGTAGACTTATTCGTATCATGTTTTATAATGGAGTTAGCGTCTGTTGGTTTGTGTTTTTTTTTTTCCTTTCATATTTTAGATAACTGGCTACATAGATGCAAAAGCCTTTCCATGTTTTCTGTTGGCATTGCCTTTGGTGCCACACGTCCATAATCGATACATGGCAGCATTAGGCGATGAGCGCACCACTGGCAGCACACCCGACTGCCAGTACAAACACAAATTGAGGGCTGCACGGAGGAAAAAGGATGAAGTCAGGCTGTGGGGTGTGGGGGTGCATGCCAGGGTTGTGCACACGGCAGGGGACCAAGACACCATTCCAGGCGGAGGTCTGATTCACAGCTGGCCAACAGCCTCTGAGTCACCCGCACACGGTACTGAGAACAGGAGTCTAACTGTTGGGAACGTTAAAGGTTTAGAAAAGGGACTGGGTGGTGGCCGGTCACACAGCCAGGAGGCAGCTTCGGTCATCCAACATGAGGTAGGTAAGTTTTTAAGGGAATATTCACCAGTCTGTTCTCAAGGATGCTCGCACTTGAAGACCCATAGGCTGCCTCTGGAATTTGAGTCCAGGAACCATATGTACAGTCAGGGCAGCTGCACAAAGTGGGGCCTGCTCTTTTGCCGTTCGAATTCATTGAAAGCTCGGGGTTCTGAGGGATCAGGATGCCTGATCTCCACAAAGTGCCTGCGGCCTCTACCCACCCTCCTGGTTATATCTGGGGGCAGTGTAGAGGTGGGGTTAAAGGATTGAGGGAAAATGCAAAGAGTTACAAGAAATGACACACTAGGCTTGGAACCTACGCCCCTGGCCTAGCACAGGGGCTGTCAGCACAGGAGTTGAGTTCCTTTTATATTCAGGTTGCAGTATGGCTCATCCATTTCCACCTCAGAGGCTGTTGACAGGGAGGGGCAAAGCTGTCAGGGAGCGTACGATTGCTTACCTAATTACTCTAACCAGGTCATGGAAGGCTTTGTCCACATTGAGAGGTGGGTCCTTGGCACTGGTTTCTATATATGGGATCTGGAAGGCAAAGCTCATCTTGGTCAACCCGGCAACAAAACCCATGAAGCTCTCTTCTACCTTTGAAATGTATACTCTAAGCCGGCCATGGTGGCACACACCAGGCAGGCAGATCTCTGTGAGTTCCAGGCCAGCCTGGTCTACAGAGCTAGTTCCAAGACAGCCGGGGCTATCCAGAGAAACCCTGTCTTGAAAAAATGAAACAACAAAACAAAACTATACACTCTAGAGGGTCTGTGGACCCAACAGAACCCTCACAAGGCCTAAAGCTTCTTGCCTCATAAGGCTGGCGAGTTCCTCTAATGGCCTCTCTCCCTCTTGTTCTCTAGTCACAGAGATACTTAAGAGCTCCCTAAAATAGAATCCAAATAGTCTTTTTATATTCAGGAGCAAACCGTTTTGCTTCCCACACTGAAGCATACTTTGTTCTACTTCATTCCTCCTTCAGGGGTGACCTCTGACCTTTTCCCTGGGCTCCTCCAGAGTAAACTCCAGTGGGGAAGGCTGAGGAGAGGTATGATGTGAGAAGAATTCTGGACCTGGGTCACTCTGGCCTCTTACCCCAGCTCTCTAACCCAGCCCCAATCTTGTTTGCTCTATGTCTATAAGCCTGAGAGCTCAGCCATGTTTACCCAAGGATGCTGCTGAGATAGTCTCTCCACTGATAGGAAGCAGCATGTGGGAGCTGGGGCTGACAGGAGCCCCGGGTCCATGGCTGCACCAAAGCTTGGATGGGCAGAGTGGAGCAAAGGCTCTGGGAGGGCAAGGTACAATTCCAGGTCTTATGATAGGTACACCAGAAAACCAGGAAGTTCTCATCCCACAAGGCTTGAGAGTTCAGGAAAACATGCCCTGACCTCCTAGGTTAGAGGTTAGACCAAAGGACTTTGCAACTTCTTGTGCCTTTTTTAAAATTTTTCCTGAACACAAAGTTAGTGCTCTTTGTTCTGATACATTTAAAGTACAGTGAATAAAATAAGTCGTTTGTTCGTTAAATGGATGGGGAGGGAGGAAGGCAGAGCAAGCCGCAGAGTTAGAGCAGTTAGTGGGAAGTTTTGCCCAGGACACACAGGGGTGTGTCCATAAGTGGGGTCAGATGTTCCCATGCTGTGCTGGCTTCAAGCAGAGGTCTTATTGTAGTGCAAACACACACAAAGGGCCCAGCTTAGGCCTTTGATATTTTTATTTGAGCCTCTGATAACGCTGAAAAAACTGTGCCCTCCTCATCGAGATGGCTGCTCGGTGTTCCCGTCTCCCTGTTCCTGCCTTTGCTGAGTTACCCCTCTGAGGTAAGGGCTACTACAGTGCTGGGCAGCAGGCGGGCTCAGTGAACAGAGCGGATCACAGTGATTCAGCATTACCCAGTGCCAGGCTGTAGAGCCACCACTCCTCACAGCCCAGTGTGGATATGCATTGCCCCGGGCAGAGCAGCCCTCGGCCAGGAGCACGCTGAATACTACAGGCCACCTGCACGCAGCTGTCCACACGCCAGAGCCTCTTAGGGCTTCAGAGGCTGCTTTCTCGGGCCTGCGGCTTGTTTCAAATAAGATTACTTCACACTCACCCAGTGACCTTTCTGTGGAGCCTAGTTGCTCAGTAGGAGGACTTAGTTTCATTTCCAAAGACCAGCATTGCGTAAGAGATGGCATACGGACTTTCACACATCACACACACACACACACACACACACACACACACACACACACGAATACCTACATTGTGTTTGGTCGCCATTTCTTTTCCTTGCTCCCGGGTGATTTTCCTCAGGTGCATCAAATCCACCTTGTTGGCCACGAGGATCATTGGGAAGGACTCCCTGGGAAACAGGAGAACGGGAGCCACGTGAGGTTGATTCTCCTGCACCATCAGCTCAAGGTGATGTTGGGCCAGGCCACCCCCAAAGCAGTTTTCCAATGGGCCTCCTCTTTTCTGGAGGAGATAAGGGCTTGGGCAGAGGGAGTCTGGGGTCTGTTGCAAGGCTAGCCTTGAGGCTGGCCTGAGGCTGTTGGTGTGTCTAGCTCCCCAGACACCAGAAGTTTTCAGTTCTGCGGTGCTCTGATATAGAAACCGCGCAGGGTTTCCAAGTCCTCTCAGCCAGGACTCATGAAGAGCACCAGGGACAGGGGCCGGCACGCAGCTGTCACTGCACATACCATGCAGCAAATGACACTGGATCCCAGAAGAGGAAGTGTGGGCATCGTACTGACATGGAAACCGGACAAAACATCAGCCCATGGCATTCTGGGGCAACATTGGTCAGATTAAAGACCCTGTGTTTTCATATTTAAAAAAAAAAAAAAAAAAAAACGTACAATTTGAAACACACAAAAATATGCTACTTTTTATTTCTTTGATTAGCAAGTAAATTAAGGTTTTTCCCCTCGCTGGACCGCTTAGGGTGTCTCTTTTAATCAGTTGCAGCTTGCTCTGGGTGTTCCTGTGTCCCTGTCAGGTAGAGTTACAAGTCCCTTTTCCTGTGGAACAGTAATGGGCTGGGCTTCTCCTTCGTTACTGGGATTTAATCTGAGCTTACTGTTTTCCTTCATTTAATTTTTCTTTCGCCCTGCTTCTCTGACGGCGGTGTTAGATGGGCTTAAAGCAGACGCTAGGTGATTTAATTATTGTTAAAGAATGTGAAGGAAAAGAAAAAGCCTTTCATCAGAGACTTGTAAATCTCATAGTCGGATGCAATTTAATCAATTTTGGCGTGTCCTGGAGAGGAAATTCCCTTTTTTTTTCTTTGCACATAATGCAATTTGTTTAAATTGGAGTTGGAAAACAAAGATGTTAGCATTGATTCCTTGGTTGAGAGATAGTTTATGAAAATATGAGGGGTGCGGCTTGGGAGCAGCTTAGGAACCAAGGAAAGAGCCAGGAGAGACCTAAGAGCAGGGGTTTTCAACCCTGCTAATGCCTCGACCCTTTAGTACAGCGCCCCACACTGCGGTGACTCCCAACCATACATTTAATTTTGTTGCTACTTCGGAATTTTGCTACTGTTACAAATTGTCATGTAAATATCTGATAAGCGACCCTCCCCAAGGGGCTCACGACCAACAGGTTGAGAACTGCCTTAGAGGAAATAACAGAGAAATCTGTGGGGGGGGGCGGGGAGAGGAAAGGAGAGGAAGAGAAGAGGAGGAGGGAGGTAGGAGAAGGAGGGAGGTAGGAGGAGGAGGGAGCCCTGTGCCTCCATAAGCCAGGGAGAAGAGAAGGGAGCACACACACCACCCACCGAGTCTGCTGCCCTCACCTGTCCTTGACGCGCAGAATGAGCTGGTGGAAGCGGTCCACGTGCTCGAAGCTGGCCTTGTCCGTGACGGAGTAGACGATGAGGAAGCCGTCCCCTGTGCGCATGTACTGTTCCCGCATCGCGCTGAACTCCTCCTGCCCAGCTGTGTCCAGAACTGGAGAGGAATGAGGTCACTCGGGGGCAGCCCTCGATCCCATTGGGCCCGCTCCCAGGCTCCTGCTGCGCTCAGCCCCAGTTGTTCTCACAAGAGGATTTCCAGCCACCGCAGAGGCTGCTTCCCTGTAAGGCTCTTCCTGGTTCCTGTCAACCTCCGTGCTCACCGGACCTCGATTCTATGGCTGAAGAACCCGCCTCGAGAATCCAGAGATCAACTCCACAAGTCCCTCTGGGGAACCCCACAGCTGGGCTCGGATTCCTAGTTTAGCCCTTACAAACTGGGGTTCTCTGGGGTGTGCCTGACCCTCTGTGCCCCATTTCCTCCTTCACATATATGGAGACAGGGCCTCCACCCGGAAGCTCTCAGGTGCGGAGAGCTCCAAAGAAACCAGCTGAGTCAGGAGGGCCTCTGTAAGGCCTGTGTGGACAGACACCTACATGCAGGCCTTGGGGAAGGAGTAGACTTCAAAAGCCAGGCCCACATCCTGGGTGGAAATGGCAGGAAGGGACATCTGGGGCGGGAATCAGATGAGGAGGGCCACTGCAGCTCCTAGCCACCCTCACCACTCCCACTACACAGACCCCTGATGCTCACTCTTCCTCTTTTTGACGTACAGTGCTCTGCTCCCGTCTCGTTGAGACCCAATCCCCAAAAGTACCCACACTGTGTCTGTAGGCCCTTTGGTTACAGGGTGAATGAGGCCAAAACTCCAGCAGTCAGGCTGGTAAATGGTTGAATGGTTGACATAACTTTACAGAGTATGAGGCTCACTCTAATGAGGTGAAATGTGGCTGCAGGCTTTGTTGTCATTCTGGATAGGTCAAGAAGCTACCTCTCAGAAGGTGACCTTTGAGCAATGACTAAAGGCAGGAGGGATCCGAGCCACACGACCTGGGGAGCAACATTCCAAAAGAGGGAATACTCCCAAAACTCACAGATAGAGGTGTGGCTGACATGTGGTGCTGGGGAGGGAGTTCATAAGTGTCTGTTGCCCTCTGCCCTTCCTCTTCCTGGGCATGGTGAAGCGCAGTGCAGAATGTGGGCAAAAAGTGATACAGTCCAGAGGACACTGTGCCAAAGCTAGAGCGTCAAATGCTAGGGCATCAGGGAGCAAGCTGCCAACAGAGGCAGGGAACCAGTTAGGATGTTCCAGGATAATCCAGGGGAGACATGATGGACAGTCGCTGGACCATGCTGGGAAGAGAAGGGACCAGATACTGAACACTTTCCAAGACACAGCTGCACTGAAGATGCTCTCTGACTGTGCAACTGAGGTGAAGAACATGAGGAGGGAGACAGAGCCCATGGGGTTCAGTGTCTCACACAAGCTGCCGAGCCTGGCTGACCACATGCAACACCTCAGGTCAGACCCTGAGGAGAAAAGAGGCGAGAGATTCTCATGTAGCGAGGAAAGCCACAGAAATAGGAATCTGGGGACCCCCAGATTCTAAGGCAAACGGATTACCCCAGCTCTGACTTTTTTCCTAAATGAACCCTACTCTAAGCTGGAATGAACAAAACTGATGAAAGTGGTCTGACGGCTTACGTGCATAGGAAAGGATGAATGTGAGATCAGAAATCATGATTCTAATACTGGAGTTAATGTATTCATAGATGTTGAGGGTATATATTATATATGTAAAAAAAAAACAAAAACCTAGAGATCATTTGAAAGAAAGCTCAGTATGAACCTGGAAATAAGAGACTCCTCTGAAGCTAGACACGGTACAACACACATGTCGTCCCAACATTTGGGAAGCGGATGCAGAAAGAGCAGAGTTCAAGGTCAGTCATGGCTACATAGGGAGTTCAAGGCAAGCCTGGGCTATAAGAGGTTCTATCTTCAAATCAACAATAAGTACACAAAAACCCTCTGGAAAGGAAAACGTTCATATCTGACCCTGCAGGAATATTCCCAATGCTTTCTAAAATAACTCTTGGTGAATATGTCATCAAAGGGAAAACGAAATCCACAGAAGAGAAAGATGAGTGGCATTACGAATGGTGTTAGGCAAAGGCAAGAGCTGACATCTGAATGAAGATAAAAACTGTTGCTCAATTAGAAGACTGTGGGAGCCAGGCTTGGTAGTCCAGTCTGTCCTCTCCACTAATTACAAGGCCAAGGAGGGAGAACAAGACACTTAAGTTGAGCCCAGGCAACTCGACAGGGCCCTGCCTCAAAATAAAGAGGTAAAAGCGACAGGGGCTAGAATATAGCTCAGTGTTAGAGCGCTTGCCTGGCATGTGTGAGGTCCTAGGTTCAAATCATAGCAGCACAAATACAGAGCCTGAGAATGCCTGGTAATTTAGAACTAAAAATTATGACAGCTCATGAGTTAGAGATGGGCCCAGGAGACAGTAACAGGTTACAGGTCGAATAGACCTAATCAGCAAGTCCAACATCTGAAGGGCTCTGAAATGTGAAATGTTTTATTTCCAAGTATAAAATGTCTAAAATCTGAAACGATTCTGGTATTAAAGAAAAAAAATAAAGCTTGTTGAGAAGAAGAGGGAAACACTAGTTTGATTTTTAAATAATTTTTATTTTTAGTTACATGTGTATGTGTTTATGTGTATTGGTCTGGACACATAAGCACACTGCCCACAGGAGTAGGCATCAGATGCTCTGGGTCTGAAGTTACAAGCTGTTGTGAGCTCCCCAACATGAGTGTTGGGGCCCCAACTCGGATCCTCTGCAAGAACAGTACATTCCCTTAACCTCCGAGCCAACCCTCAGCCTCAGTAACTCTGGTATTAATGTGATGTTCTTATTCTGGTAATGGTTAAAGGATATTTAACCTCATCTGAAGTCCTCGCTCTGTTTAGGAAGAGGTTCCAGATCCTGATTATATCCTGATACTGATAGAAAAATACAAGTAGGAATACTCATATCTATCCAATAACTTTCTGAAGAACAGAAATAAAACCTCAAACTTCTTAGAGGAGATAAAGGGAGAACAAAGCATAGAGGACAAATGCAATAAGGCAAAAACAATCCTAATTTAAAAATAGCTATGAAACAAGATAGCAGAAGTATTGAATTTATCAAAATTTCAATGACATTCTTCACAGAACTAGAAAAAAAAACACTTTAAAATTCACATAGGAGACAGTTTTCAGAAGTGGATACAGAGCTGGGCTGGGCATAGTGGCACATGCCTTTAATCCCAGCCCTCAGGAGGCAGAAGCAAGCAGATCTCTGAGTTCGAGGCCAGCCTGGTCTACAAAGTGAGTTCCAGGACAACCATAGCTACACAGAGAAACTCTGTCTCAAAAAAAAAAAAAAAAAATGTAGTTGCAGAAAGTATATGTTATCTTTAACAATGAGGGAAGAAGTGTAAATCAAGAGTTTACTGATATTCTATCTCACCCCAGTCAGAAGGGCTGTCAGCAAGCAAAAGGCCACAGACACTGGCAAAGATGCAGGTAACAGGAACTGTATACACTGATGGATGGAACAGAAACAGGTGCTGAGATCAATATGGAAATTGTTCAAAACACTGAGAATGGAACTACTGCATGGCCCAGACGTTATCACTCAGGTACATGCTTGGGTGAGGCTAGGCCACTGCTCCAGTTCTACCGAGAAAGAGGAATGAAATACTGTTGTTTGCAGAAAAATGAAAGTAGAAGTCATCCTGCTAAGTGAAATAAGACAGATTCAGAAAGGTGAAGGTCACATTGCCTGTCATATGTGGAATCTATATTAAAAAAAAAAAAAAGGAGTGGTGGTACACTTGGGAGGCAGAGGCAGGCAAACAATGTGAGTTTGAGGCCAGCCTGGTCTGCATGATAGAGAGACCCTATCTCATACATGCACACACACAAACACACACACATATACAGGTATAAAGGACGTTATTTGAAAAGAGAAAAAAAGGTAGGGGTAGGGGAGGACTAGAGAGGATAACGGGAGTAATTGTATACATGTGAAGGTGTCATGACAGGGCCCATTATTTTGTACAGTACATGTTAATAACATTGAAGTAGCAATTATAGAAAATTATGAACGATCAAAACACATACAGCCTCATAAACCAGTAACAACGGAGTGTAAAACTGAAGACAAAAATGGCTGAAAGTTATGCTTGGCCTGAGGGGACATGCAGCCAGGATGGAAGAGGTGACATTTTGCTGGGCAGCCTCTGCTTTGACTCACATGCCTGGGAACACCTGGGGCAGACCCCAGTCCAGGTCATGCTACCCAACCTTCCTAGGGGAGGCTGCAGGTTCCCAGGTTAGGGCTCTCGAGAAAGTAACTCTGCCTGTACTCCTCATGCCTCGGCTCCTGAAGGTAGGAGGCCTCTGGGGACAGAGAGTCTTACTCATTGTGGGGGGGAGAGGTGTTCTACCAGTGTGTGCGGTGGTACAGGCAGAAGTAGGAGGCGGGGAGGGTCTCCGCAGGATGGCACGGAGGCTGCTGGAAGATCCAGTCCCACACGCCAGCATTACGCAAGTCTCAGGTGGGTGGACAGCCAGTGTTGAAGGGTGCCAGCCCGAGTCTTTGCTGTGTCTGTCAAGGCTGCCTTGTCCTTCTCTTCTCCCTTTTCTCTCCCCTACTTCCCCTTCTCCTCCACTCTTTTCTTCCTCCTCTTTATTCATCTAGGTGTGGGTCCAGCCACCTGGATCCAGACGAGCTGTTCAGATTCCAAACATGGGCTGAAGCTATGACCTCCAATTTGAAAGCCTCTTCCCCTCCCCTCTGGTTGTCCCAGCCGCCCTCTGGCAGACCTGTGAGAAGGTCTCCCTCGTGGGAGGCCTCAGCCTCTGACACTCACCCCTGAAGTCTTCCTCCAGCCCGTGACTCAGTTCCTCGTACTTGTGCATCCTGACCTGGCTCCTGTCTACGCTTTGTAGTGGGTGGCAGAGATCAGGAGCCAGGCACTGTTCCCTTGGGTCTTCCCCCAGATGTAGCTCCAAGGAGGGCTCGAAAAGGTGTGGGAAGCACAAGGCACACCCCAGTGCTCAGGCAAGAAATGCCATGACCTTGGTGAAGC